ATATTACTGTCATTCTTATCAATAACTAAACTTCTCTGGAGTCAGCAACTTCCTTGCTCAGCACACAGACATTTCCTGAACTTAGTACCTGCTTCAAAGAATTCCAGGATTTGTTTCAACCTGTGAGGCTGAGGTTAGGTATAGATAGCTGCCTTCAAGATTCAGGTACACTGGATTTATTTTATTTTATTTTATTTTATTTTATTTTATTTTATTTTATTTTATTTTATTTTATTTTATTTTATTTTATTTTATTCTGACCACATTGAATAGTCAGGTATGCTAACACAGAACAGAAAAATTGCTATGTGAAATAAAATAAGGATTGAGTAATAGATATAGGAATTTCCCTCTAAAGATCTTAAAACAGTATATGGTTCCTATAACCCTTATTCCTGCTGTGAGAAGCAGTATAGAGATACAGAATGAGTTAGGGGCATTGCAGAAACACAGAGCACTTGCAGAGTGACAGTAGCTGACTGAGTAGGTGCTAATGTCCCAAAAATACAGATTCAAAAAACCCAGTTCTGGCCATTCTGCATTCAGTAACACCTTCCCAGTTGGGTGTTATGGCTGCATGTGACATAAGCCAGGCTGCAGAACTAGGTCTCAACCTTGTAAAATGACATTCCTGATTAGCATCTCTCGCAGATGATGATACTCCTTGTCTGATGAGCATTATTGAATTTAATCCAGCAAAAAGCATAATGTTTCCTTTACAGATGTGGAAGCTAAGCTATAGATTTAGTACAACTCAGTCAGTCCCATAAAACAACACTAATTAACCCAGTGGCTTCTGTATATACCAGCACGACCAGCAGAWATCTCAAATTCAAGCATGTTTGGAAACGTCCCTTTCTTCTCATCCTGATTAGATTTTTTTTTTCCTATTTTGTTTTCCTTCATCTGCCAGGTAAAGTGTCTATTTCATATAGTTTAATATGATCTCTTCATTTGCACTACAGTGCTGTTAAACTGTCATTTTTCAGTTACATTCTCTGCCACCTGGTATCAGCAAGAATCAGAAAGAAAATCTGAAAGTGCTGTTAATATATTTTATCCTATTAACATCCACAAGGGTCATCTTTTTCTTTTTTTTTTCCCCCTGAGATGTTGCCAAATCAAATTTGAAGATATTCAGGGCTTTAAAATAAAAGGCATCGGGATTTGTCAAGTCCACCATTTCCTTAGTTACTAAGTGTGAGTCTTAACTAGAGGCTGAATACTCTTTCAATGAGTCTGACTGCTTACTTCCTACAGTGAACAGTATGGTAAAAGATGTGAAGTAAACAAGTGTGCTTCTTTTGTATTAATATCAAGGAGTGAGTTAGTGAGAACCAGCATATAAAGTCTGTTTACATAGTGGAAGTCTTTCTGTTGGTTGCAAATAGTGCTAGCTATGGTATATCTAGAAAGATTACAATAATTACAATAGTAATAACAATAGAAATAATATATTAATTATAATAGGACTCAAAATAGTTCAGAATATGGATATTCTACAACAGCTTGTATATTCTCCATGAAGATGTTTGAAAGACATAGAATTTAATCAGCTTTATCCTTGCTGTATTTRAACAGTTTATTTTTGTTGCAGAAGAATATTTATTTTGTAAAGTATCAATAATCAAGAAATAATTTGAAATTATTATATGAAATACTGGAAATCCTACTATATCCCTTGCTTATGATTGTTTTCTGGTGTCTGGAACTTTAAAGGTAGCAACTGACAGGGTGCATTTTGGCGAGGTGCAAAACAGGAAATACATTTTTATTGCCTCACTTTGTATTTGGAGTTCAAAACCTAGTTGTGAATTTTTTGATCTGGTTATGTGACTGCAACTACGTAATGGACGTCTTCACACATCCTACATTTTATTAATCCATGAGGTAACTGTATTGCAAACCTGCCCAAAGAGCTATATTTATAGCACTTACCATCTGAAGCTACCTGAAACTCTTTGGGTAAAATCCAAGCCAAGCCAAGCAAACATGGATGACTAWATATATATATATATATATATWTWTAYATATATATATATACATATATACATATATATATGTTTATATATGTATRTGTGTGTGTGTGTGTGTGGATATATATATGTGTTTCAATTTACATCTGCTACAATTCTTCATTCTTTGATGTAGGCCAGATTCAATGTATGCTATCTGTGAATGCTGCCCTTATTGTTACTGCCGAAATGTACTATCAAAAGGTCTTGTAGTCAGTCACCAGGCAGTATGTTTAGAATCAGAGGAACGATGAAGAAACAAGATTAGAGGGTACAGAGAAATATAAGGAATATAAGGTATAACTGTTTTCAAAAGCTAAAAATAAATTCTATATAATTGCATTGTGTTTCAATCTTGTGCAACACAGATTCCTTCCAAACGTGAAAAGAAACAACCTGAAGGATATTTAAATRTGATCATCTGGTGTGAATGTTTTAGGCAACTTATTTGCACCATTATGATTACTTTCCATTCTTACATGCCATTTAATTTTGCAGGAAACAAAATAGTTCTATGTGGTTGTAGTCCATCCAATATCAGTGTGTTACTGGGAAGTTGAAATCTCATCTAAGCCAGAAGTGTAAATCTGCCAGACCTCCCAAGAATACCGAAAGCTTCTTTTTCTCTCTCTGTTCTTTAAARGGTGGAAAAGATAATATCATGTCTTTTCTGTCTGGGAGATCAGTCCTTCTGCTTCTGACCATTGTCAAAGGAGAATTGATTTTCTGGATCCTCCTGGTTCCTCGTGGCTTATGCTTTCATCATGAAATAAAAACTTTAGGTGTGTAGACACAGAAATTATGTAGGGACTCAGTGTTTTATCTGGAGTCTTCTAAAAAGTTTTTTAACCATAAATGAAAATGTCTGAAGATTTTTTTTCCTTTTTTTTTCTGGCAAACATCACATGCACCTCAGGTTACGTGCCTATTGGTATCCTGTTCGACTTTTTGGAGTTAAGAAAGACTGGGTAGGGGAAATCAAAGAATGACAATGGAAAGGTCATGTCGTAATGCATGCTCAGATGCTCGCGAAGCCTGTGTCAAAGCAAGCTGGCAAGCTTGTGACTCTCAGATTGGACCAAGAAAATGCAGCTTTAAATATACTGATCTGGGAAAGAAGAGGATTGAAGAGATGAGGTAAAGATCCTCATAGGAATGACAGGGGCACGTTATGGTAAAATAGTTTGCATCTTCATACCATGAGCACTAATAATAGGCTTATTAGCCTGTTCCGGAATGATTGAGCCATTTGGTTATGGCAACCAAAGCCATCCTCMGAGAGGGATGCACTTGAGGAAGAGAGAAGGAGAGCTAAAACTYACTGTGGTGGCTGTGCTAGTATTGTCTCTTTACGGACCAACAAGGATTTTCTAAGCAAAATGGTGTACATTCCCAATGATAAGCACTGATTTTAGTTCTTTAGAGAAAATTTAAACTTGCATAATGTCAATTACTAGTGTCTCAAWTACGTATGCGTAGAGAGTTCTTAAAGTATGAGGAATAAACAGTCTAATTGGCTCCAAGAACCTGTGGTAGTTATTAAAAATATATTCTGAGGTAAGGCATAAAGGGCCCCGAGCATGCAGTGACTCCCAGCTGCTTCCACACGCAGCAGACCACACGCGCCAGTGCCTTCCCATGCCGTTGCTGGGTTTAGTGCTGTGTTTCTTCTGTGGACCAGTAGGCRAATTAATGTCTTATGTGATAATTCCATTAAAGACTTATTATTTTGATAAATCACAAGAGGCAAAGGTCATGATCCCTTGGGAAGTCTGATTTTGAATTATTTTGCCTGGGATTTCTGTACTTAGCTTTGCTGTTGGGTTACTACAGAATTTCTTCATTGCCTCCCACAAGCTTTGTTCTTTTTTCAACAATGTTTTTTGAAGACATATCTTAGGGATCTATTCTGAGGTATTTTAGCCAGTGAATTATCTTTTCTAATTTTTTTTTCACTTGACCAGTATACATTAGGGAGGAAATATGAATTGGAGTATAAATTCTTCAAGCTCTTTCCATACATATTTTGGACTACAAATGCTTAATGAAAAGACTCTTCTTAGAGCCCAAGAATGAACTCAGTAAATGCCATAAGTGAAATTCAGGGACCATGTGAAATTAAATAGAAAGCCGATGTTGGAGGAACACTACCTAAAATTTGACATCCTGGGAGTTTGTTAATTGCTCACAAAATGCAAGCAACTAAATTCCCTTTGCAACGTTGCTGGTCTTAAGAAGGTGGGTCCTGGTGTGTTGAGTGCTAGGAGTTACCGCAGCTTCCAGAGCTCATCCCAAACACCTCTGCAGCTCCGACTGTACAAACCTGCRCATGGCTGAGGGGCACATGGTTTAAAATGACATCTCCTTATACCACAGTCCATATTGGGTGGCTAATCCAACAGGAGAATACAGGCCCGACGGCAAAGCAAGCCTTTATTTTGGGGCACGCTTTCACCCCAGTGCTTCACACCTGTGCTGAAACAAAGCTGTGCTTAACAACATGAGAAAAAGACATGTTTGTTGGAACTGGATGTTTCATTTCCCTCTGCCTGGGAACAGGGCCTTGAGCCCTAAGCAGGGCAGGCCCAGGCCCAGGCCAAGGCCCAGGCCTTTACCAGGGTGGGAATCACAGGCAGCAACATGAGGGGAGAGACACAGGGCAAGGTTGGCCGTGGGGAGCCTGCCTACARGAACCAGCCGCCATTTCAGCTGGTTAAAGCTACATCAACCTGCATCCAGYCCTGCCTTGTCCCTGTGGACTGGCCAAGACACCCTTAGCCCTTTTCAGAGCAAAGGGAAGGCAGACCTTCCTATAGGTGCTGGGAGCTGGGAACTTGCCCAGAGACCAAACCACAGGTGTGACTTGTTATTTACTTAAGTCTTCAGCTCAGCTTTGATGAGGGGTGCCCTAGTTCTTCTCTAAAGGCAGTTTCCTGTCTGAAATAGTATTTAAGRTGAAGGCAGAGCCTTTCTTCTGTTTTCTTCCTACAGATGAAAAGGAGGTTTTCAGAGTAAGCAACCTTTAACCTGGAAACAAATATAATTCTCCTTCCTGTGATATCTCCAATGACTAATGTTGGCTGCTGCTTGCAGGTAACAAGTTTTTTTTTTTTTTTTTTCCTTTAAACCTGCATAAACCTGCACTTTCATTATGCAAGAGAGAAATTAGGCTCTTTTTGTCATGTGCTTNTTTTTTTTTTTTTTTTTTTTTTTTTTTAATCTCAACATGGTGTTATGGATAAGTAAGCACCCATTTAAATCACTAAATTGGTATTGCTTCTACAATCTTTTTACTTTGCAGTAATCTTACAGTTTGTTCAATTTTAAACGAAAAGCTGTGTCAATACCTGCATTAGCACATAAAGGAGCAAGGTCTGTAGAAATATGTATGACTGTATTTGCTATTTTACTATTGCTGGTACTAATAATAATAATGTTGTTTGATTAAAGGTAATTTCAAGGTATACCTCAGTAGAGAATATTTTTGCAATAAGACAATCTAATGCTTATTGGAAGCAGTGGAAAAAAAATGTAGGCTTCAAAAACTGCTAGGCTTAGTCCTTTGGGGCATAATATTTGCATTAACAGGCTCTAAAATAAGCTRTGTCCTCTAGCAGCCTGATCTCATTGTGAGAGACTTTATAGTCTGCTGAATAATCATTATCTTCCTTTTTATTGGATTGATAGTCGATAATTAAAGAAGGACAGAGGAAGACAGTATTTTAATGTTGACTAACACCCCTTCCCCACTGGCATGCTCTTCCTCGTTGGGCTGTTGATTTAAAAAAAAAAAAGAAAACCCTTTTTCTCCACCCATCTGGCTTGTAATGTTTCTCTCTCAATGATTTGTTTGTCTAAAAGCTGTGACGCCTGAAACTTTATGAATTAGTCTCAATGCAAATTGTAGTTGTCAACTTTGAAATTACTTGATTTATTATTTATATGATTTAAATATTGTACTCCTTCACCTGTAAATTTAAAAAAAAAAAACAATGAGAGCCATTTTCTCTACGGGTTTTTTACTGTCTCTTCTGCCCTCTTATGGAACTACTCTTACACCTTAAGAACTTAGTCCAATTCCTGTTCCATTCATGGGGACATTTGTTTAGTTTTGGTCAGGTGAAGATGTTTTAGAATTTAGTGGAGATTAAGCTATACAAATTGACAAGTCTTAGTATAGTTTATGCTAAATATTTAGTATAAAAGGGAGTTGATACCTTTCTGAAGTTGATACTTTTCTGGAGCTTGACTTCTTTTTTTGTTGCTTAGAATTTGATTGCAGGATTGTGATAAATTCTTAATCCTATAAAATGGCTTAAAGTGTATGTTTTGTTGTTAAATTTCACAAGGCTAATAGAGAATTGACTGTTGTTAGACATTCACGTTCTACTGAGAGATTACATGATCTTTTTTGAACATACTTAATGGCCTTACTGATCATTAGGCAAGTGCCTAACACTGGGAGTACAACTGGACTATTGAGTTCAGCAGAACTTTTTACAGTAACTGCTAAATTAAGCATATYTCTAAGATCTTGCAGGATCAGCACCAAAGATTTAAAGACCTCTGTGTAGAGGCAGATAATCTTACAAAGTGGTCAGTAAAAATTAGGTGCATGAGTACAGCCAGAAATCTATGGTGGTTTCCTGTGTTTCATATCACACGATAGTCTTGATTAACCACAAATCCCTGCAATAATATTTCTGTTCTCCCAAATCCTTGTCCCACCCAAACACAGACAATCTAGTATAACAGGAGAATTTGTGAACTGTGTTCTGCTTTCTGATCTTTATCTCTCTTCCTGGTTTGATACAGCTAGGACATAGAGCGTATTGGAGTTAAGGACATAAAGATTTCTCGTAAAGGAAGGTGGGTTTGTTTCTTGGATATTCAGAGAGGCAAATGGATTTTTTGGGGGGAGGTTTTAGCTGTTGTTTGTCTTAATGAATACTGTTAATCAGGGAGATCTTACCTGTATCTGAAGCATCTTACCCATATGACTGATTTCATATACTGATGCCATGAGGCCTCACTTGCTGGTTATCCATGCAATGGCTATCAGAAGGACTTTGGGGTAAAACAGAGCCAGAAGAGTGAATTGTTTCTCTAGTGCAATAAACTGTTGATGCTTCTAGACGTTTTCATTTGTTTTCTCTTTGCATGTGATGTAGAAAATGGGAGCATGAAATGAAAATATTCTGTTTGGAAATGTTGAGGATTCTGTTTGATAAACAGAACTAAAGCATTCAGAAGAGTTGAACATTGCCTTTTTGGGTCAACTCCTTGTCATTTTCTTCCTTGGGCTACAATCTTGGTATGTTCTCTGGCATTCAACTTGTGTCCTGAACTCACATAAGAAGAATGAGAGGATGGGTTTGACAGTGTGACTGTTGTTTCCTCTATTCACCTGTTTYGTTATACAGTTGTTCTTCTTTTCTATATCCTTGACCTTCCAGCAGAAGATCCATACAGGAGGTATTTGGTTTGCTTTCCTTCTATAGGAGACTGAGTCCAGTTGGTTGAGTTCAGATTCCAGCTCTGCTTCCTCTATTTGATGTAGTGGAAGCAAAGAAAGTCAAACAGAGATTCTTCTCATCCTTGCTTCCATTCCACTGTCCTCCCTCCTCTTGCTGTTCCTTCAAACCTTTTGGCAGTGGCCCTATCCAGATTTGGAGATCCAGAGAAGAGAGATGGAAAACATTTTCTGTTGTTAAGGCATTTTATCCCCTGTGGACTTTTGGCTGCCAAATAGCCTGTGAAAAGCGGCCAGGGCTTCAAGTCCAAAGAGAAGGTCAGGGCAGGGTGCAGCGTTGTCTCACCCCTGCTCTGTGCTCCACACAGTGAAGCCCAGGGGTGTTGCTCCCTCCTGTGATGAGGTGAAGCCCTTCACCCTTACACAAGTATCTGCTAGGGAAAGGTCTGGATCTCTAGCAGTAAGCTGGTTTCAGGTCAGGACTTAGGGCAGTAGCTGAACCTATAACCTATTAGTCTATTGTTTTCATGACAATTTATGGGCCCTTCTGTGTGAAACACATTGTTTGAAGTGTATTATTTTGATGCACACTGGATGATCAAGAGACCGTCCAGGCACTTGGGTCTGGGACCTATCAAATTGTGAGGGAAGAACAGTTGCTCTTGCTTTGGTTCCTACCACTTCTCTCTGATTAGACTTTTACACTGACAAGAGTTCTCTTGTCGTCTTGGGTGTGATTACTAGATCATGATCTTGTTCAGGATGAACAGAAAACAGTCCCAATATTTGACCTTGAGATAATGAGAAGGAAGTGAGGTAGAGAGAAAGGGGAGGAGAAGAGAAGTTCCAGTGGCATGTTAATGGATTCCAAAGCAAAATCTGTACCTCTGTCATTCTGCAGTGTGAAAATAGCAGTGAGATAGTAAAATGCTGAATATCAGGTCTTAAGAAACCCACAGAGCTATGTGTGTAGTCTCACCCACATGATCTGAATATATGGCTGTGCTGTCACTCTGAGACTTGCAATAAGCAGACTTCAGCAGGATGACTTTAATGTAGATGTTTTATCTAGAGCTTATAATTTATCTAGAGCTTATAATAACAGCTTATAATTTATCTAACTAAAGATTGATRTTTAGAAACTTAAGGTATTTTCAGCTGATGCTTTAGCTGTAGTGAACTGAGTAGTCTCACAAAATGTACTGAGACACAATTTATTGTCTTGTATGAATATGAAATGATGTGTAGTTTTCTAAATATATTCATYTTTCCTCTGTGGGCTTTCTTTTATTACCCACCTTAGAAACTTCTTTACAGCTATCCTGTGCAGCAGATGAAGCTTTCCTGGTTACTGCCCGCTTTCAAAGCGGTCTGTCAGTTGTGATCAGACTTGCTGCCTGCTGCAAAGCACAAAACTTGACCTGATGCCTCCTAAGCGGGAAAATAGTCGGCAGGAAGTTCCAGCTGAGGTTCACAGTTCCAAAGTCCACAACCTTCTAATATTTTCAAGGTTTCATGTGTTTTACTCAGGTCAACACATGGTCTGCCTCCCTTAGAAGTTCACCAACAGTTTAGTAACATCAAGAGCTGCAGGGTTAGGACAGAGAGGAAAGTACCTTCATGTAAAATACCTGTTGTTGTTATAATTTTTATAGTGTACAYGCTTAAGTAAAATCCCAGGAGGGATCAGATGCTCAGTTGCAAGAAACACCCAGGGTTACATTCAAATCAGTGAAACAAATAAATTAGACCAGGGGAAGGAGGTGATCTAAATTTGTTTTAGCTCTGATTCACGAGTGCATATGCTGCATTACTCTCACATGTGGAACCCTATCACTGCTATATCAAAGATGTCATTAAAAACCTGCCATAACAAATGTGCACTATGCCCTACCAAGTTCTTGCTCTGCAAAACTGCCCGAGGGGAAGAGTTTGATCTCTTAATCGGTGTGTGTTGCCGCTGGTCCAAAAGGTTTTATCAAAGAACTTGAGAGAAGCAAGCCCTGCTGGAGCAGAGGGGAGAAAAGGCTTTGAGTAATTGGTTGCCAGCCTGTCTGGCCTTCCCGAGTACAACTTGCACGCTGTTGTAGCACCAAGCAAGAGATATGCAGAGCCAAACACTGAGCACAGTTTGTTTTATGGTGATAGCAGCTCCTTTCTGCTAAGAATGTGAGTAGCAGAGTTCTCCTCCAGCTGGTACTTCTGGGTGGTCTTCAAGGCTAACTTCAAATCCAGCCCAGCACAGTGAAACAGCGTAGAAGTGTCAAAGACAAAAGCATCGCTGGTGAGGGCCTTATCAGCTGAAAGACCTCCAGTTTTTGACCAGTTGCACATTGGGAAAGGGCACAGGAAGCCATTTTTACCTAAAAATCCTGGGGTGAGGCAATGGAGTGGGCTGGGTGCTTATTTGAATAAGTGAGATTTCAGACTGAGCCTCAAAATGTAATGGTCACATGTTAATAAGTATCTTCATTTACTTCCCAAATTCATTAATCTTCTGTGAGAATGTAGCTGATAAAAATATGCAGCATTTGAGTGGTGGCAGGAGGATGGTTGAGGAAATTGTTTACATATAGGAAATATCTAATTCATTTCTTGAGTTTTTTGTTGTGTTCATGTA